TCTATGCTCAACACTTTTGAATTTATCGTTTGATATAAGCTGACAGAAAATCAATTAACAAACAAGTTTAGATCAAAGAAATAAGTAATATTACCCATGTTTCGATCTATTTCATCTTGCCAAGGATTAAGCCCTAATTCCAGTTATACTTATGAGAGCAATATTAAGTGTAAAGAAATCAGAAACACAAACAGGTAAACACACAGATTTATAGCAGTTTGCCTTTAATGTGAGAGTTATGTCCACTTGCAGCTGCAGGTTTTCATTATGATAGGGAAGATTACATGATGATCTTAGCCTCTCAGTCTATATCTCATAAAGAAAGGGTCCCCTTTAATAATTCTCTATATATAGAGGAATATTATAGCAATCTAACACATATAGAGTGAAATATATCATGCCTAATATAGCACTGAACTTAAAATACACTTATACACCTTAAAAATCTGACGGGCCTACTGCAACCGTCAACCTTAGGTCGATCCATGGTCTAAAGGATGCATCTATGTTGGATTAAGCTCTACAAAAGACAATACATCCCTTGGGATATTACAATTTTATAGACAAATTGAAGGTCCAAAATAAAATTGTAAAAGGACATGCAGGGTGATCAACTTACCTGTAAAAGGTCTCCAATATTTACCACAAGAGCACCAGGCACTGGAGGAATATTAATCCATTGGTTTTTGAGAAAAACCTGAAGGCCTCTTATTTTGTCTTGCAAAAGCACTGTGAGAAAGCTATCATCAGTATGTTTGCTTGCTCCTAAGGTCAATTCTGGCTCTGGACAAGCTGGATAATAATGGCACAGAACTGCAAGCCCATTTGCGCAGTCCATATCCGTCAGGTGGTTAGATTCAAGTCCAAGAGCCTCAGAAAGTAGACCAAATATTCGAAACCCCAAGCTCAATATGTGTTTCGAATATTCAATTTGTATGTCCCTGCATATCATATATGGCGAAGTTAGGACACGAAACGGTTGAACTACATGAGTTCAAGAAACATTACCATTCAAT